GGCCCGTGGTGATGCCCATGGTGAGGCGGGCTGTCCCCCCGCAGCCCATGGAGGTTCACGGTGGAGCAGATGCCCACCTGCAGCCTGTGGAGGACCCCACACCAGAGCAGGTGGATGCCCGAAGGAGGCTGTGACCCTGTGGGAAGCCCACACAGGAGCAGGTTTGCTGGCAGGACCTGTGACCCCATGGGGGACCCACGCTGGAGCAGTCTGTTCCTGAAGGACTGCACCCCGTGGGAGGGACCCACGTTGGAGCAGTTCATGGAGAACTGCAGCCCATGGGAAGGACTCATGATGGAGCAGTTCGTGGAGGACTGTCTCCCGTGGGAGGGACCTCACACTGAAGCAGGGGAAGAGTGTGAGGAGCCCTCCCCCTGAGGAGGAAGGAGCAGCAGAGACAACGTGTGATGAACTGACCCCAGCCCCCATTTGCCGTCCCCCTGCACCGCTGGGGGGAGGAGGTAGAGAATTCAGGAGTGAAGTTGAGCCCAGGAAGAAGGGAGGGGTGGGGGAAAGGCGTTTTTAAGATTTGGTTTTATTTCTCATTACCTTACTCTGCTTGGGTTGGTAATAAAGTAAGCTAATTTCCCCAAGCTGAGTCTGTTTTGCCCATGAGGGTAATTGGTGGGTGATCTCTCTCTGCCCTTATCTCGACCCACGAGCCTTTCCTTGCATTCTCTCTCCCCTGTCCAGCTGAGGAGGGGAGTGATAGAGCAGCTTTGGTGGGCACCTGGCATCCAGCCAGGGTCAACCCACCACAATAACTTCAAAGTTCCCTTAAGGAGTAAGATTTTCTGCTTATAACTGCTTATAACTAAAATAGTCTCTTGAAATCTAGCAAGCGAAATAGACATTTTACTTGCAGCCTGGCAGATGAGTAATAACACTCAGAATTACTACTGTCTCAGTAGCGGTGGACAAAACGTGCTAGATAATAGTTCCCACAGGTGAGACTTATTTTTCTTCTGAGGCTTCTAGGGACTAGGTTCATCTAATAAAGAGAACTTTCTTGACTGAATGTGGGAAAACCTCAGTTTCTTCTCTTTCATTCCAGCCTCCCCTCTCCTTCCGCATCCCCGTGACTGGACAAACTACACTGCCAAGCTCATCTCAGATTTTTAAAAATAAATCTGAGCTTTGAACCATGTCTAGAAGAGTTCTCTTCCATCTATGATTGAAATGCTACTTTCTTTTACAAATGTGTCATAAAATATATTTTTTAATGGTAGTAAAAATGTGTCTCTGCTTTGGCTACAGAATGGCTCAGAAGTAAATGGACGTTCCAGGATGATCCCTGTCAGAAGTACTATGAAACTCTGCTAGTAAATCCTGTTTTGCTGGTTCCACCCACAAAGGTATACACCCAGCCTAAAGAGACTTCATGTTGATGTCTGCAATCAGTGACAACACTGCTTTTCTATTTGTATTTTTTTAGGCATTGGCAATTACTTTCACCAATTTTGTAACTGAGCCTTTGAAGCACGTAGGACAAGGTATTGGTGAATTCATCAAAGCGCTTATGAAGGAGATACCATTTATTCTGCAGGTTCCAGTGCTAATTATGATGGCTCTGGCTGTCCTGGTTTGTATAGATTTATATTCTATTTAAAAGCTCAGTTTTATTTTTTATATATTAAACTTATTTATACTTAGGTATTATTATCTATTATATTCTTTCTTTCTAATTTATACTACTGAACAGATTTCTTAGCACAGATGGAATTATTTCTATAAGGGAATTTTTTCTTGACAAAATCTTTCTAGTACAGTTGGTTTAGCAATTAAAATAGGTAAGTTTGTATTTAAACTGCATCTCTCCCCCCCTCCCCAGGTGGGATAAAACAGCATTAAACTGCTTAAAATCTTAGACTCTATGACAGTTTATTGCAGCTCAATTCCCGTTTCTTCTTTGTGTCATAACACAATGATGCATGTAATTGGCATTTTTGTACATGAAAGCATTGTGTTAGAGTCTTCAGCAGCGTTACTGGAGCACCAAAGAACTACATCCAGTCTGGCAGTTCCTGCAGCGCGGTCCGGCTGCAGAAAGCTTGGATGTTATTGTAGCCGTTCTGATCGCCTGAGCTTTTCTTTCAGTGTTTTTCAGATATGTGGCTTTGAATTCTGTGTGAAAACTACAGGCTGCAAATATTTGGTGTTCTGTTCTTTCCCCCCTCCCCTCCCCCAGGCTTTCTGCTATGGTGCAGGATCATCAGTGTCGATGTTAAGATACTTAACATCTTTTCAGAAGAAAAGTCTTCCTCCACCTGACAGCCACCAGGAGAGAATAGACTTTGGGCAGTATGACGGGAGTAAATCAGATGGCTATTATTCGCAGAAGCTTCCTTATATTTGTAGAGGACCTCACGACAGAGGAGACGCTCCTGTGAGACCAGGGAATGGCAGCAGGCGGCCTGACATCGGGCACACGAGCAATGAACCAGATACGCAAGTAGAAGAGCCTCGCAAACCAGAGCCTGTGTACGGTGTATGTTAGTCCTGGTGCTCTTTGAGCTGGGATTCAATTTCATAGATTTCAGTGTCATCTGCTAGAACACGTTTAAACAACAAGCTTAACCCAAATCTTGGGGAGAGAGGAGTTAGTTAAGGAAGTACCTGGTCCCCTATAGAACGATTTGGTATTGGTATCTTGGGCGTGTTTTGTTCTGGAAAAATACTGTGCAATGGCTAACTAACTGTGGCAGGAAACTACTGAATTAATTAAAACTCTTTACTATAAAGACTTAAATCACTTCTGTTTTGAGAGATCAGTACTTCTGTCAGCCTGGGCAATAATCATTACCCATAGAGGAAAGGCGGGGAAAAAAAGCAGTGCTGACTTTTCTGTAAACTATAGAAAATGAAAAAACAGCCTTAGACTCCAGGTGGTGCTTATTTACATGTACTGCTTCCCCAGGGAAAAACCAAACGAACAGTCACGCTTTGGGGTGCCCCTTGAGCTGAGTGAGACGCACCTGAAGCAAGAGATGCCATCACTTTGGATTGCTTGCTTAATAGCTTATTATTGATTTTTACAGAATAGATGGCGCACCGAGTCTGAAGTTTGTAGACTAGAAACTATCACAGCTGAAAACCGTACTGAAGAACACGCACTTGAGCAGCAGAAGCAGGAGACAGGCAAAGCAGAGCGAGAGACTGGACAAAACTGTGATCCTAATAAAATCCTAGAAGGGAAAAGCTCTGCAGTGGAACCATGTGAAGAGAAGGAAAAGAGCAGCTCGCGGGACTCGCAGGAAGGAGACTAAGGAAGCCCCAGGCTCGGCTGTAAGTTTTGTCTCGTCTTTAGTTGTCACATACTCCCTATTTCTGCTCTAGTTCTCAGATGTAGAAAAGAGACCATCGGTAAGCTGCTGGGAGCTTGCCTTTGGTCAGAGCATTAGTAAGCATAGCTGTAAGGAGGGGGTTTAAAAATGGAGAGACTGAGTATATGTACTGCTGCTGCTGGACTTTGAAATAAATGTGTGAAGTAAGATAATGCAACTTTAATTGGCCAAGAAGACAGGCTTGTGGGTGCTGCTGCTGGTTTGAAATCAAGTTTGTCTCATAAGTTTTGAGTAAAACTAGCTATTCTGTGGTGGGAAAGCACTGATACGCTCCGATCTAGCAAACATAAGCCTAACCAGGTAACTGTCAAAAGTTGCTGATATTCATGTAATTCACAAAAGACTAACTGCAGCTCAACTGGAAGTCTCAGGACTATCTTTGGTTTGTGTTCTTTAAAATCACTCTGAAGTACGTAGAATTGCTGCTTGTCAGCTCAGTCGTAGGACGGCTTGATGATTTTCTTCTAGTTCAGTAATTTGCAGAGGAGCGAGAAGCTGATGTTGTGTCAGATTGGTTTTTAGGGCAATCCAAAGCTGACCAGGGAATAGGAAGCACTGAATAAAAGTACTGAAGATCAGCAGGATAAACTGATGGTAACGCATGGTGTTGGAAGAATATTGTGTCGTTTTTCCTTAAAAGCAGAAGGAGGAGAGTTTCAGTAGAAATCAATGTTGAGTGCCAGAAAAGCTGCAAGAGAATGTTGGTAAAACTTTCAGTAACTGTAAAATAGTTCTTGAATTACGTGGGCCCTGTGTCTATTTCATTATTCTTACAGCGCCATTTTACTCTGAAGCTAAAATTAACCCTAGATTCTTCTCTAGGGGTATAATGCTTCAATTAAAAGTTTACATCACTTCATTTATAAGTACCTGAAGGGTGAACAGTTTGCCACCTTTGGTGTTAAAGTCAGCGGCTTCTAACTCAGGATACCTACGCTTAAAACACCATACAGCCCTCAGGCTTCCCAGGCATTACCTCAGTACAGGCGTTCTACCGAGGGGAAGACTAAGGTACAACTGTTGTTCCCTAGCACATCCTTACCAAGAGAAGGAGAAGTAGTTGAGGTCAAGTAGTAAGCAGCATACATAAGTTTACTGTTTGTAACATTTTAAAATCAGTTACTGCAGGAATTGCCTGAGGGCCGCGGTAGTTCCTGCCAGGCACCTACCACCCCTGGGATTCCCTGCTGCGTGGACACTCCTGGTGGTGGACAGGGACCACACAACCTATAGAACAGCACTGGCAGCGTTACTTAAAAAGGAGGATATCTTCCTAAAAAATTCTTCTGATTGTAAAACTGTGCTGAGTAGTACAGGAAACAGTTAACTAAGTATTACCAAAAAACCCCAGCGTGTTTTGAAAAGACTATTTTTGTATTAAACAGAATTAAAACTAGGGTTTGATTTTTTTCATTTTTTCTTTTTGTAATAAGAACGATTACAGAAACACAGGTTGGAAAACACAAAGACAGTCTGAGTACTGAAGCGATTTCTCAATTTTTTTTTATTTTTACAAAAAGTATAAAAGAAAACAGGACCTTTTTCCAGGGAGGTCCGAATCAGGAAAAAAACGATCAAGTTTTCTTTAAAAAGAACATACAAATTTAGGTCTTACGCTAGACGGAGACAGTGGTAGAATCCACACATCAGCAATGAGAATACCTTGACAGGGAAAAAAAATTCATATTAATGTTCATAGACTAGAGGCAGTTAAGAGGGAGATACAGTAATCAGTATCTCAGGGGCTGCTAAAAGCAGCTGCCAACTGCAAGGAGCAGTGGCAACTCTAACTACGGGTCATGAGCGTGATGCTGCTGCCATTTATACAAAAAATGATTAGAAAGGGGACAAAGCTACTAATTGCAGTCTTCTGTACAAAGGCATGTATGTTTTTCCAGCAAACAAAAATGACACCTAAGATGCTACTGTACAGTACGTGCCTGTTTCTTTCTTCAGCTAGAATTTGGTCCCTTTATAGTTAGTTGAGGGTAGATGGACTCTTTGTTCATCCATTCTTTTAGCTTGTGATCGTAAAATCAGGCTGAAGAAATCCTCATCTGGCACAGTTGGGCCTTTTGCAGATGATGGAGGAGCACATCGTTGATCATCCAGTCTGGAACCCTACAGACAAACCAAGCGATAATATTTACAGGAATATATGGAATGAAATAAGTGAACAATAGAAGTGAAAAATTACTAAAAGCTTCTGTTTTCAGATTTAAAGCTATTACAAGGATTTAAGTTTTGTTTCAAGTTAAACTTCTCAAATGAAATTAGTAAGTTAAGAGTGCAAGTGGAGCTAAAATGGTTCCCTCCAAAGCACCTGTCCACATGTATCCGAAAATAAAGCCCCCGATTCAGTTCTTGTTCATATCGCAGAATGAAATTTAAGTGCCCTTTGTCCAGAAGAAGAATTTTAGCATTAGTACCTGGTATTTCTAGTCTCATACAACAGAAAATATGTTTGTCTTCCTTTCCTTTTACAGGGAGTAAAAAACAGGCACACTGTTGTCAGATTTGGAAAGGCAGTATTGAGAGAAAGTTTTTCTCCAAACTGACAAGGCTCTGGTACATTTTGATTACAACGTTAAGGAGCAGTTCCCTTAAGACCTCTGAGATGGTTTCTGTGCTCCTTCCGCACAGCCACCTGCTCCTGGTCAGATTTTACAAGTACGGGCCTGTCACCACCCTCGGTCTGGCCGTGGGCTGCAGCCATCTCCAGTAGCGCCTTTGCCTTAGCTGGGAATGAGCATTTCTCAGCAGCAACAGGCTGCTGCCGAGCGAACCAGAGGGTCGCTTCAGAAAGGCCTGGCTTTCGGTGTTCACTATGAAGAGAGGATGGACCTTGGACAGGCATTTTTGAGAGAAAAAGTCTCAAGAATCAGCTACCCTTTTGTGCTTCTGTTTAAAGCAGCAGCATCCGTAATGACTGAGGGGATGAAATTTTCCCATTCCGTTCTCAATAAGCACAGTCAGCCATCGTGTTACGTTTGCTACACGTAGTGCACGGGAAGAGACAAAAATCTCTAGCTTCTTTGCTTGACTCAAAGAAGTAAGCAGACAAAGCTGCTAAAACAGAACATGGCCTTTCATCAGGTTGATGAACACGGTCATTGTAGGCTCAATTCCAGGTGCCGCTTCCCACCCAAGCTTACTTACCTTTGGAGAACTCGGTATCTGAATTTTGTGTTTTGAGATCCTTATCAACCCATCAGGTAAAACACCAAGCCTTTTTAATTAAATTCTCTTTCCTCCAATTGGTATATGTACCGTGCTCTAACTGACAATCAGACACCTCACTTGTGTATTGCCGTGAACTACTATTTAAACTTAACAGAATCAGAATGATGGTCACTATCACCACCAAAACTTTGATACTGAATTCTTTCACTTGATAAGTTAGGATTCCTGGTATATCAGGTGCCCTCCTAACAAGCCAGATCTAAATACATTTTCTTAAAATCATTTTACATACTCCTTTTAATACTCCTCACTTGTTTTCCTTCACCATTTCAGCATTGGTTACTTTAAATGGTTAACATGGTACAAATACCAAAATTGCACTTACTAGACACTGGATAATTTGGAAAAAAAAAATTTAAAAAGTTGTAAAGAAAATCCCAAACCTTGGGAAAAAAAAAAAAATCCTGATTTTTTTGTTCTCTGTTCTTCCTTATCTGCCAATCAATCTGTATCTTAAAACACATTATAAACATGGTAGAAGGAGGATGCACAAATCGAAGCCTCAGAATCTGAAGAATTTCTGTCAAAAACGTACCTGACATTTTATCAATATATCAAAGAAGTCGTCATCCAGTTCTCTGTTGTTACTTGCCATGAGGTGACCCAGGACGGACTGACTGTTGTGTTGATTAAGACGAAGTCCAGGTAGATTACTAAAGCTAGCACGTTGGTCATCTAGCCGGCGGCTCTGGGAGCTAGCGAGTAGGTCTAGAAATTCATCTGTGTGGGGTGAGACTAAAGAAGTAGAAAAGGCTGGGGAGGAGGAAAAAAAAAAAGTTAGCCTAGAAGTAAGTTCCTTTCCATAGTGAGTCTCGCATGCAAATACATTTTTAAAGTAGTATTTGACAGGAACTAAAGTCAGATATGGATTTTACTTTTCAACAATTACATTTTCTCATTGTTTTAGGTGGAGTAGAGGATGTTGCCACTGAAGCAGCTGAGAATCTGTTCTTCTCCTGGAAGTAGCACCTCTGATCATCCATCCTGTTACTCTGGAATCGGCTCAGCAGATCAAAGAACCCTTCATCTGCCATTGTCTCTCGACTGTTTTTCTGAAGAGGAGAGAAGAGTTAGGGGTATTTTGAACTGAAGAGTGCCTAAAACTAGACAACTGCATCACAGTTTCAGTCCAGTAAAATGTTTGATATTTGCGTATCTGAAATGCATTAAATGAATTTTTTTAGTCATCCATTTCTATAGACAGAGATCTATCGCAAGAGGAAATGCTAAGAATATGGCAAGCGTTTTTGGAAGGTAAAACATATTAGAAACATTTCCTTCTCTGAAACAGAAAGAAACAGTATTCTGACCAGTACAACTGGAGTTACTCCTCCGCAGCCGTGAATCCACCCAAACCCCAGATGCCCATGAAAGAAAAAAAAAAACAAGAGCAGCAATGAGCAGTTTCCATTGTTTCTTCAGGTCTATGGTCAAACGCACTCATCTCTCATCTAGATCAAATGACTCCGTTCTTTCATTTTTACCTGACTTCTGTCAAGAGTGCAACAGCCTAAAAAATATGTCAAAAATATCTCCCACTGTCTGAATTAGAAAAACTAGATTTTTTTTAAGTTTGGAGAAGCAGGGTCTAGAATAGACTAGAAATAAAATATACGTGCAAAGTTGTAACTTTAGAAAATCCACCAGGAGAAAGATGTTCCAGTAGCAGGAAAAGCTTAAAGCTGGCACCACCCATGAGACAGCTGCAGAATGGCAGATTCTGCATTGTTTTACAGAGCCACAGGCTTTAAATCAAGTAAAACTGAAAGGGACAGCTGCAGGAACGTGTCTTCCATGCTTTTGATCTGACAGAGATTAGTAAAGGCTATGATCTCCACAGCTCGCCAAACCTACCCTGTGAGCGTTTGTAAGTCGATGATCAATAGAATTACTGGCATCCTGCAAAACTTTGGAAGCGGTGCCGTTTTTGTACTTTTTGCTTTTTAGTCGATTTACAAAATGCAGTTTTGCTGAAGGTTTGGCAACCAGTGGTTTCTGTTTAGCGAGAATCTCACTGTTCCAGTTCTGAACCTAAGAAAACAAGAGTCACGGAATTAAGCCTTCTGATTTTAATTACGTATACTGTTACCTCTTATTTGCCGCTGCTTTTCCTCCCCAAAATGAAGCAGCTTTACATTATTTACTTTATCCAGCCACGAGGATGTGAAAACCTAGGTGTCGGTTCTATGACTTGAGCTCTTGTTACCTGAAGCAGGTTAATACTGTTACTGATCAGTCTTGTAACTGAACTGTAGTGTGACACCTGATTGATTAAAATGTGCTCAAATAGTATACTTAATCAAACACGCTGAAGTTTTCCTTGCTGACTGCAGTGCAGGAACTGTAGTTAACGTGATTGCTAAAATGCAGCTGCAGCTGGCATTTCCCACCTGACATTCTTATAAACGGAAAGAAAAAAAAAAATAAAAATCAATCCACGGTTTTACAAAGCACTAGAGCAAAACAAACCCTTATACAAACCCAGATACTCAACCAGCCTTCCATGAAGCCCTTGATATACACAAAATTCCCAGTAAAGATTGAAAAGGAAGAGGGAGAGGAATGCCAGCACAAGAGCAAACAGGAATAACCATCTCGTTTCACTGAAGAACAGAATGGATAGCTTTATCAACCTGACGTTTTCCCTAAATTCTCTTCCAAAGTAACAGGATTATCCACAAAACCGACAGCTTTATCTACAAGCGACAAACTCTTATAACTGAATAAAACCACATTTTTTTCTTCATTCAACATCAGAATTGTGAACGCAGTCACAAATCTTTCAGCAACACTGCCTACCCAAATGGCTTGCCTTTTCAAGGCTTATTTAAGATCAGCACACAGATCCCAACTCTGAGAAGAGGGCAGCCTGTATAATCAAACCCTCATGCTGGTGCCACACGTTGTTCTATATATCAGAGTCATTTATGGAATGAATTGTCAGAACTTACCAAATGAGTATCTTGAAAAAAGCCCTCTATAGGAGCTACGCTGCAATACTAGGTTAATACTTTATTAGAAAATCCACAGGAAACATTTTAGTCTATTTAAGGCACAGACTATCACAGGCTCTGTATTTTAAGAGATGTTGCAGATAAATAGGTTCAGAGAGTAAGCAAATACAGCTGATACTGGCCACAAGCTTAGAGGTTCCCTGCAGAGAAATCACCCTGGACTAAACCCAGTATCTTTTTAAATCAGTACACAAAGAGGCTCTTGAGCATCAGTGCCGACTTCAGCGGTACCAACTGTCCAGATGTAAGCTTTGAGATTTAATTTGCTATTTGATAAACACGATGGCAGGCTTTGCATCACTTGAAGAGATGGGAATTAGATATCCCAGTATGGAGGGAAAAATAGCAATTTCAGTCTGCCCCTGGAGTCGTTTAGGTAGCCGGCCCACCGTTTAAAGGCAGACAGAATTTGAAGGAAGGCTCTCAAAGACTGACATAAGGATTTTAATCAGGAGCGCCCAGCTACAAGAGATTTCTCTGAGCCTGGGGGGAAGTTACTTTACCTATCTATCTGTGACTCGGTTTCAGCAGTTCAGAAACAGCATCCTTACTCAAGAGGGATGTTGAAAATCCTAATGGCTTGCAAGTTGGTTGAAATCCCAAAGTGAAAAACAGAACAGGTACTTTAAGTGCCTATAAAATGACTGTAACCAAAGAAAAAAGGTTCAGAACAGCTGAGCTAAAGCTTAGGAATTTTACTCTTAATCACTTTCATGCTGCAGCCTGAAACCGCTTTTAAAGGGGTGGTGAAAGGAATTCCTTTGATGCGCACTACAGGACCCCATTCTCTCTTATTTGGGGGGGAATAAAGCAAGCTTTCCACAAGCCGTTACAACCATTATGTATGTAAGATGCTGACTGTTACCTACATGACAAAAGTATTATTTGTTAGAACTGTTAGACCTGCTTTTACCTGACTGTTCAGATCAAGTAAATTAAAAAGGGGATGCAAATGACACATCAACGTTCTGCTGAGTTCTTTCAGAGTTGTCAAGTATAAAACTTCTGACTATTCCTAACTGTTGAAGTTAAACCCTTAGAAACATTGCATTGCAATCTCACCAGCGGAACAGAAAGAAGAAAAGTGCCAACCTTTTCTGGTGTTAATTTCATAAGTTCCATGTTCTCCATACTGTGGCGGCGTCCTACTCTTGGTCTGGTACCTTCAAGAAAGCATCAAGTTCATCTTTTTATCATTGAGATCTATGATGTCACCACCTTCAAAGCTGTGGCTGTACGCATCTAAGGTCCAAGGTACAGCAACTCTGAGTTCCAAAACAGTGCAGTTCAATCTATCAGCAGAGAATAACTAACCACTAGGAAAAGCAGCCTTCAAAACCACATTGATCTAAGCTATGTAAGTTGCTTTCATGGGACACAGAGAAGGATTGTAGGAATAAAAAAAGGAAAGACATAATTTGGCAGCAAACAGATAAATCTCCACATAAAAAAAAGGGGGGGGAAAGGAACAATTAGAAACATTATGTGAAGAAACTAAGCAGTAACCGTGATTCACAATGTAAATCCTCCAGAAAAGAAAGAGCTGAAGGGGTCCAATAACAACCTTTTTTTGCTGGGTTAGCAGCGGACACGCACATGCACGCGCACACACACACACTCAACCATCTGTAGTCAGAAAACAATGCAAACAACAGATTCTTTTTGAGGTTCACTGTTGGAAAGTACTGCAGAAATAGGCACGTACCATTCAAACTGTTCTCTACCACGTGGCTTTCTGACATCATGGAGTTGTTTGTGCTGTAGCTTAATCCAAGAACCATTTGAAGATCTGAGAGGTTAAGTCTAGCAGTGAGCTCCCCACTTCTATCTCCTACCTGCAACCAAATAAAATAAGCAGTTCTATTACTGTAACAAAGACTACACGTATGTAACTATAAAGCAAACCTTGTCCCCTAGATTTATGGGAGAAAAAGGCTGAGAAAGTTCTCCTGGTTGAAAACAGAGACTCATCTTTTTAATGAAGTACGTAACAACTAAAAGGTACCTAACAAAGCCTAAGATAACCTCTGCTAGGCTATTGATTTGAATTCCATGCTGACATTATCGGAAGTGGCACAAGAACTAAGGAGCTAGTTGCAGCGAGAACTGGATGAAAATTTGGAATCCGCTATCTCAGAAATCATTCAGAATCCATTCCATTATTCAAAATTACGTGCATAGACACACCTCCATAAAATCGCTGCGTAAGCAAGAGCAAAAACCAACCAGCCAACATACGCAGAGTGTGAAAATCATACCTCTCTTGAAATCTCCAAGTGCCTTTCTGCAAAATGCATAGCTTGGTCATGATTTCCCAGAGCAGTATATGCATTCCCTAAACTCCAGCATGCTCTTCCTTCACCAATTCTGCAAAAAAATAGACATTTTCACTTACACCTTTACTCACTGAACACTAGGGGTCAGGTTTTCATAATATTGCCACAATAAGATTGCTGCGCCAAGAAAAATGAAGGCTATCATCAGAAACCAGTCCAACACCAACACATTAAGTATTGTATTTAAAGGAGTGTGATCTGTGTATAACTATAAATATAAGCAAATCTAATCAAAATTTTAAGTTTTAAGCTCACAGCAAACATAAGTCACTCAGTTTTGCAAGCATGGAACATTTCATAACCTACTTTGCTTTTCTTCAGATTGCATGCCTTATTATTATTCACATATTCTGCTTATTGAGTTAGAAGAAGTGCATTTAGAAGTTGTAAAAAACTTTAGTTTTACAACCAATGTTATAAAAAAGGCCTTAGAAATCGTGATTATAAAATAAGCATTACTTGCTACTGTATTACTCTCCTTTCCCCATCCCTTCCCATCTTCTTAATTTGTGGAAAAGTAGGAGACATTCTTGTGAAGGTATGCAAAATTATTATAATGAAGTCATGAAAAAGAGAGATCTGCTTTTTTTTTCCTTAATTTACAAAGATGCTGCTGACAGAAGAAGATGTAGAGACAGTCATCATCACTTCCTCTTTCATCTCAGACTCATTAACTGCAATACTTCCATGAGTAATTTTTTTTCCCCATGTGAAAACCGGAGGCCAGCACTGTAGGGAATTCACATTAATTCAGCTGTCATATAGAGAACAATGACAGCAAGAGTTAGAGGTAACAGGATTTGGTTTAAGTGTCATACATACATTAAACAATCTCTTAGGGCTTACTTATCATTTAATTCCTGAGCAATCGCAAGGTGTTTCAAATGATAATCAATTGCTTTTTCATAGTCTTGAAGCAGAGTGTACGTGTTCCCAAGGCTGTAGCAGGCCTGTGCTTCCACAGCTCTGTCTTTAAGCTGTCGAGCCAGCTGTAATGTCCTCCTGAAAGAAAGGGTGAGTCACCTCAGAAATCACTATAAGGAAAAGTTTTTAAAAGTGTACTTGCGCGACTAAAAATCAATTATAAAAATTAGGACACCGGGCTGGCAAATTAACCGCTAATAAATTACTGTCTTGCAAACTCTCACAAGATTTTCAGTTTCTGTCTGCCACTCCCCTCCACTGCAACCTGTTTCCATTTACTTTATTAGAGAGCAGACTGATCCCTCAAACAGCATCTTCTCATTTTAATTCATTCATCAATAATTTATAGTGGTTTTCCTGACAGTAGAAACAGTTCAGTACCAGCATTAGAATAAATACTGTATGTTCTCCATCAACATGAGCAAGACAGTCCTATAACCACCAAGCCAGCCTGCCCCTGCTGCGTAAGAAGAATTTGAGTGCTAAGAGGAATCTGCTCAGTATTGCGGCTTTTTTTCCCTTTTCGAAAAGAGCGGGTAAGCTCTGAAATCCACATAAGATGCTAGTAACACCTACACTGTATCATTGCCGAGCTTGGATTTTCCCAAGTTACAGCAGCAACTGCTTAGCGGTGCGGAGATCAAGAAAAAGGTCTTGATTGAAAATACAGCCTAAATATGTAAAATCATGTTGCCGTGCACTACCTGTCTCAGCTAGTGAGTATACCCGAGACAGCTACCCATCTCAGGTGTATCACAGTCACTCACGTCATTCCAGAACTCGCTCAGAGCTAAGACAGTTAATGCTTGCTTCTAGAATAAAGGGGAATAAATGCCTGTCAACAGAAAGATGTCTACAGTGCTGCAAAGAATCTATGTAAAGTAACAAAGAAGGAAAAGAAAAAAAAAAAAAAAAAAAAAAAAAAAAATTAATGCTGCCCCTCCCTTGAAAGAACCAGAACAGTTAAACAACTAGGGGAAAACGTTATTTTTGCTAAACAAATGCAGCTATTTTCTAAGTGTATTTTGAAGAGATGGCTATTCTACAGTGAGCTAAAGTACCAGGCACAACAGAAGTAAACTGTACAAGAGGTTTAAATTATATTTATAAGCAGTCAACTAACTTGTAGTATTCAGAAGCGGTTTCAAATTCACCCAGGAATATGTAGGCGTTTCCAAGATTGCTGTACGCTCTTCTTTCCGCTGATCTATCACCAAATTCCTTTGCAATTAGGAGACGCTTTAAAATGTGAAATAATTGCATTATTTACTCAATTTTGTACTTTGTAACATACATTTGCATGCAGAAATGCACGCTCATAGTTTTTCCATCATGCATCTGTACCTGTTCTTTAGGCCAACAATGCTTGAAAAGAACACCCAAACTTGAAGCTCTGCCATTAAGGTTTAAACCTTGCATGAAAAAGCTTGCAACAAGATCCAACACAATACATGTACTTAAGATCGGGAGCAACCGGTGATACTTTGCTAGAACAGAATTCCTTATGAGCACATGGTTGTACCTGTTCATGGGCCAAAACTGCGCTCCTGAAGTTGCCCAGAAGATAGTGTGTGTTTCCCAGATTTCCAAAGGCACGTCCTTGTGCTGCTCTATCACCCAGCTCTGTTACTATTGCCAGGTTTTCCCTGTTCCGGGGTAAAGTGAGAAGGGGAAGAACAGTGACTTTTAAGAGGGTTGGTTTTTTTTCTCACAGTCATTTAAATAATAATAATAATTTTAAAATCCTTCCATTTATATAAATGAAAAGGTAGAGGTATTCTACTTTGGCCTATTTTAATGGCCCTTATGCAACCATAAATCTTCCACTGAGTAGGAAACATTTGCTGTGAGATACCAAACTTAACTGCATTCTTACTCAAGCTGGTGTGCTCGCTTCTAGTTATAGAGCTACGTTATATAAAAGTATGCTAAGGTCCTGTTGTTGTCTCAGTCTGGTTTGAAGAGTACTACTGGATTCTAACATAAAGGAAGGACTTACCGGGTAATAAGAGGTACACTTAAATTGAGGGCGTAACAAAAAAATAGTGCACTCTCCAGTTTAAAAGGGAAAGAATTCACAGGTACCACTGTTCCGAATAGAAGCGTGCCACAGGGTAGCTCACGACACCACAAATCTCCCAATATTCTAATGACCTAGATAACCATATCCTCTCAATCCCCAACATTTAAAGCTACTACTTACTCATAATAATTTGCAGCTTTTTGTAAAGCATTTTTCACATCATCTGGAAGTTCCCCTGGATCATGAGTCCCGGCACTAGCTACATTTTTCCCTTTAGAGTGATATACATTTCCCAGATTATACAGTGCTCTTGCTTCTCCAACCTAAACCAAAAGTGAAATAAGGCATTCAAATTTTATGCTTTGAAGTCTTGTGTCACAACAACTATTAGTACAATCCACAGATGAGGAAAAAAAGTTTGTTAATTAGTTGTCAACACATGCTCTGCTCATTCTGAACATCGTCTTATCACCCACCTCACTCCCAGCCAGTCACATCCCTCAATCAAATTGTTTTGCATACTACTTCCTTTTGAGGTGCAAGATACATAATAATTCTTGAGGCCAATTACCGTTAAGAATTAAATTAAATAAAAAACAAAACCACAAAACAGGATAATATTTCTTAATCTGGATCTATCGTCTTCCAGGTGCAACCAACTATCCTACAACTAACAGATTCTTACTGTCTAGAAGAAATAATTGAATATTCAGTATTTACTTCCCTCTGAAAGGTGGCACGCTCATTACCGATACAACAGGGTTCAGTAACATGCGTTAGCAGCTTACTTCCAGATTCCTAAGCAATTCTTACCTTATCATTAAGCTCTCTGGAAATATCCAGATGTCTTTGACAACAAACAATAGCTTCTTCAAAATTCCCAAGGACCTTTAAGGTGTTGCCCAGATTCCCACTAGCTTTAGCTTCTCCCAGTAGATCTCCAATTGTCCTAAAATTGCAGAAATAAAGCACCCAGTAAATAGTGTATAATTTGAAACCAAGCAAATCATCAATGTATGGCAGACAATCAGAAGAATTTATGAAAAGAGATTACAGCCATGTAAATGTGTATGTATTCGGTTCATTTTATATCTAAAATGTACTCACATAAACACTGTTCAATCTGTAGTTAGAGACATTTAATTTTGTTGGTGCTCTTTGTGCAACTGCTAGTATTCATGGTATTGATCATCTACTTAACATTACCAAAAAAAAACCCCAAAACCAAAAACCCCTCACTTCTTTTAGGAAGAGAATAAAAAGAAAAGTCTTAATGACTATGTAGAAAGACAGTCCCAGCATTAGAAAGAGAGGTTTAACTGTTTCTGCATTTTACTTGGCTATCATAGTCTGATATTATTGACAAGACATACTGGTCTCCCAGAAAGCTGAGAGGTAATACTACATTTTTAAATTCTAAATGAGACTAAGGCAAAAGACTGCCACTGAACCAGTCAGACTGTGATACTTGGGGAACAGCATGACAAAACAAGTTCGCACGAGGTTACAGCACTTGAGCAGGTTAAGGCAGGGGGAAGAATAGATTTGTGCTTAAATTGAGGTTAAGTACATTAGGTGCCTGTGTCTTTTATTGGATCTATACCAAATCGTTAAAACTCAGATGCATAAATAGCATATGAAATGCATAGGGGTTTTTTAGATTTCACAATATTATATTATGAGTTTTACACAGAGAAACATGAATGAGTTCTGTCTAGTTAACAAAAGAGCCAGCTTAACATTCTGGAGAACCACCAAGACTGAGTTTTAGAAACAGGAAAGGGTAAAGAAAGGGTGGATTTAAAGAACCCAGTTAATTATCCACAAACCTGGTGAGGCCTCAGTCAGTACCAGGATTATGGTGCTAGACCAAGTATTTACTCCCAGGTTAAAGGGCAGTCAAGTTACCTGCCAGGCCCTTCTGCCATCGCCACATTTACTCATTATCCAGTATTAATAGCAGGGTTTGGTAGGAAAATGAGCAGTCAACTGCTCATCTCTACAAGAATGGGAGGAAATGGAGAACATGGTTAAAGAAAGACACAAGATTACCTTGCGAGAGTTAAATCATGGTGATGGTATTCCAAGGCCTTTGCATATTCATGCAAGTAGAAATAGGCATTGCCTAACTGGCTATAAATAGCACTTAGTGTTTTTAAATCTTCAGTTCCAACCTGAACAGCTGCTTCAAAGAAAGATACACCAGCTCGGCAATCTCCTGCTTTACACAGGCGCTCACCTTCCAAAGCCAGCTCTAGGCAGGAAGCCTCCATCCTGCACGATTTAAGTGAAAAGAAAGACGGTCACTCTAGATGTAGTACTTGTCCAATAACCTGAGTTCGGAAGAGGTTATTTTACTCAGAGGGTCTCTATTTGTTTAGGACAGGGAGTCAGCACCACAGCACAAGCAATGAGCTTGCTACTGTAATATTGCAGAAACTAATGCTGAAATGGAAATTGCAACTTCAACAGTGATGAGCAAAGTAACATCAGAACAAATTGCTTCAACTTTTTTTTTTTTTTCTTTCTTTCTTTTTAAGTCTCAGGGAGGAAATCCAAACACTCCTTTGTCCATATATAGCACCTGTAGGATTCAAAAATGCAGAGTTTTCACCATTTAGATCATTTCAGAAAAGTGACCTAAAAATCAAGCTATTCTTCGCAAATACTGATTTTGACAAACATAAGCACTTTTATTTTTAGGTTGATACCATAGTTACCTGCAAAATGTCTTATGGAAAAAAAATTAAAATTCAAACATTCCTGCGTATTGAAGACCATGTCTATTTTTCCCAAAGTTGTTTCCTATGTAATTCAATGCTCCTTGGCATTTCACCATTTCCTACAGTGGCACTGCTGTGAACATTCTCAGAGTGTAAAGAAAAAAGATCTAGACTGAATTAACAAAATGTATGTCAATTCAAGTTACTTAACTGAGATGCCATCCTTCCAGAAGCCACTGGAATATTTTTTATTATTATGAGCAAATAATTGTGTAATTATACAGGTACAAAATACTGCAAGCAGTAAAGAAGATACTCAGGAATCAATTTACAGCAGAATTTGCAGATTACAGTTTGAACAATGTAAAAAGAAGCTGCTAGACAACTGCAGCTGCCAAAAAACATTCATATGTATTTTTGCTACTGTGAATTCAGGTGTAACATTTCAATGTGTTACTGATTATATACAAACATTTCCTACGTTCCAGTTTCGAGATGCGAGGGAGGTAGGGAGGAGGAGGATGAGAAGGAAGAACACTTCAGGGTCTCGATCTTGAAGCAATATGGTTCTCCAGTTTTTTTTTCAAGATACATGCATTTCAAAAAGCCTGCAAAAACGCCATCATTCTACTTTTAAAAGATTTTTCCAAGTAAGAGACGTTCTGTAAGTGTTTAAAAAGCACGTGCTAATGTTGCCAAAAAGTAGGCATCAACTTCGTAAATTTGTATATTGTTTTGAATTTTTCTTCAAGATGGATCACACAGCAAGTATAAGGGCTTGCACTCCAAATTTTATGTAATTAAAGATATCCTCGTTACGCCATCATTTGATATTGACCTGGTTGTAAGAATAAACCATTTAGAATTCTATTCCTAAACCCATTTCCCTTCATATGCACAGATCAGTAACAGCAACAATCAAATGTTTGCTGTTCCAAAAGTTATTTTAATGGCAACACCAGAAGGCAGCTGTTTCGACAAGACATAGTGATGAAGTATTTAACATACCTGCAATGTTTACATTTCTTAATTTTTCTAAATTGGAAAAAAATAGGTTATACAACAGTCTACTCAAATCTCAGCAAGAAGGAAATATTTTTCAAAAATCCAGTGACTTTCAAGAGAACTAGAAGAATTTGGATCATAAGTAAAATAAGCTACCAACACAAAATAGTACCATACCTGCTGGTCTTCGACATTCCACAACTTAAGCACAGTGAGATAATGGACATATTTAACTTTTGCAATTAAAAATACTGTATGCTTGGTAGTTGGTAAAGATGCAGACAGCAAATGATAACTCAGGCATGAAGTTCTTCCCACGCCCAACTTCTCAGGTTGGATATCCATAACACATGCAGTGTTTCTAGGTTTGGAAACTCTTCTCAGAGACGCTAAAGCACTCCTATTTGCTAGAACACACAACCTGGTTTTTATTACATTGTGCACGTGTTGAATGTAAGAAAGAAAAAGGCAGAAATGATTAAGTACAGTTAAGTACAGGCAGAAATGATTACACCATCAGCAACTGAAGGTTTAAGATTTAAAACACTTCATTGGGTAATCTTAATCCTATCCAAAGAGCTTCTCTCCGGGCACCTCATGTTAACTGACATGTCCAATTAAAGTGACAGCTAGAAAATATGGTGCTCCTTAGTGCAAAGATTTAGACCATTACACAATCACATTCATTTCTTTAGATTTTTAGCTTGAATGGTTAAAAAGGGCAGAGCTTTCAGCAAAACGTGCATGTGACATAATAATAATAATAATCAAAATGCTATACTGGACTCCAGTTTTGTAAATGAATTTATCGTGTTAAAAAAAAAAAAATGATGTTTGGATTTGCAACTATGATGCATCAACCACCTAATATATGAAGAAAAGGCACAGTTTAAGAAGGTACAAAGACAATATCGGAGAATGCTATGGAGCAGTGCTTTTCCTGCTATACTGCATTCAATTCATTTCACACTGCGCCAAAGACTGCCAATGCCAAGGCAGCATGACCATTTCATCAAGGAACTTGAAACATAATCTTTTGACTTTGCAACCCCAGACTTAATATAACTTATAAAAAGGAAAGATTTGGTTTTTTTTCATACAGAACACAAATAATTATGAAGCTAAGGCTTATACCCAGGCTGATGAAAATCAGCTGTTTGACAGAGCGTTTCAATTCAACCAGAACTATAGGAAGTAAATGAGAATGGGAATTAGTAATTGAGTAAAAAAGAACCCAAAATTTAACACTACCCTTGAGTGCAACTCTAGAAAGGTTGTGTTAAAAGGTTGCTAGAATCTGTACAGCAAATTTAAGCTATAATTCCATTTGGATCCATCCTTATTGACCTTCTACAATTTCAAAGTCTAAATAAGCTATTAAAAAAAAATACAGAAAATGAAATATTTTATTTCCACAGTTGCCTGTGCCCAATATTAATATTTTATTCACATTACATAAAAGCTATGAAATCATTTAATCATTTTAAAAGTTTGCTAGGCTTATCCATCAAGTACCAAAACGAGATTCAGAGGACGTGTGGGTTTTGTTTTCGGTTTTGTTTTGTTTTTTTTCCCCTTCATTACTTAAAGGACTGTTATGAAAATTAACACAATTTTTTTTTTTTTTTAAAGATTTATATAGGTGTTCTCCAGTCAAAAAAAATCACCTCTTAGGAATGCTTTAACTGTCACTACTAATAGTTAAATAGCATGTTGGCAGACTAGACAGGGCTAGCTTATCAATGTTTCAGGAAGTCATTAAATAGTTACAAGGAGAATATGAAATTACTTTCTTTGTCCCCAGGGCTGAACTGAATTACTTATTTATTCAACACTCAATGGCTAAACAAAAGACACACTGAATCTGCAGAGACGAGAAGAGAACAAGGCCCATTCACTGTGTACTTCTAATGAAATTCTGCTCCTGCTAAACAGGATAACATACTTTATGAGTATTTCCACAGTAATATCTGACAGGGCTTCGTTTTGTTATTCTCTTTATAGTTGCCTGGACCTGTTCTCTGAAAGGCTGGCACCTCCTGAATTATTTCTCGTTTGTAAAACTACCTCATCTTTATCTGTCCCTCTAAGCTTTTCAACTTGCCTGGCTCCCTTTTTTTTCCCCCCCTCCCCCTTTTCTTCTTTATTTTCCGTTATTCGTCTCTGACCTTCTTCACATTCTCTTTTGAACCTTTCTACTTACAAGAATATAAACCCTATGCACATGCCTCCACCCTAGCCTCCCTGTTTTTTTCTCCTATTTTGGAGTCTCCCTTCCTTCAGCTGTTCTCATCTTACAAAAAAGAACAGAAAACTGGTAAGAAATAAGGCAATAAAGGAAGGCAAGGCAACTCATCGATTACTATCATCTTTAAACACAATTAATTTAGTTTTACTCCATTCAATTCCCACTAAGAGGATATTTTGCCACTGAGGGGGAATGGGGCTGCCACGCAATTTGCCATGAAACGTGTTGATACACTTAACATACACAGACACAAATTTAAAAAAAACTATTATATCTCTTTAATTCAGATGCATAAAATTACTAATGCCACAGCATCCTATAATAAAGATCACGTACTATTCCTGACTCCTGCCCTTATTCTTGGTTTCTATATATAATGCAGAAGCATACCACATTGACCACTCCAAACAACTTAACTACACCTCCACTGGAACACTGTGTTTAGTCAAACTAAGTTTGATGGCAAACTCACAAACAAAACAACACACACACATATACACGAAGAAACCACACACCTGAATTTTGGGTTCTTTTGCTCCCGTCAAGATAAAAGCAGTTACAAGTTTTTGGTGTATGAATTTAGCAGGCCAAGACAAGTGAGTTCTACGAATATTTACTCTATAGGTGAATTATCAGTCCCATTTATTAACACCAGCATATTATTTTTAGTCACTAAACAACATAAGAATAAAAAATAGTTTCCTTCCACCAACATAAGCATTTTTATAGCTGCTAAAGTGATACTGGTCAACTACAGTGGGGAGAAAGAAACAGCTTGCACAGTAAGAAACAGAGCCAGAGTAAAGCCTTTCCTTAGGACTGGGCCACCAGGTTCTTTTTAAAGTCAGTTCTATTGGAATACCAGTGGGAAGGAAAAAGCAACCGGAGAGCCAAACGAGCCTGGGACAATACCTGTAGGCAAAAAATTTTAAATACTGATAAGTAACACCACCACCCCCAGTAATTTATGACCTATTCTTTCCTGCATTAAATTTTAAACTACAACCAAATTAAATCTTACCAAATTATAGCTATTAAATTAAATCACCATAAAATCCCAGTTCAATATACTGAATTAATTTGCAGCTTCTCTAAGTTTTAGGAAAGTTTAATATTTAAAAAAAATTAAAAAGATTATGCCTTGATGTTTTTTAAATGTTCATCAGATTACAATTCTTACAGAAAGGTTTAATAGGGCTATTAATATTTTTATTGTTAATCAGTATCATTCAAGCCTGTACTGAAATACAGTGTAAAGTAGTAAGACATTTTGCCCTGACTGTGCTTGCCAATTTTTCTGAAGTTATTTGTGGCTTGTCAATTTAAACCAGACAATTGGCCGTGCCGCTTTCTTCATCCATTTACTTCTATAATAGTTCCCTGAACAGCTCCTGCTTTTATCCAACAGTGAGCAAGGATCTTCTATAGCTGTCTGGGGAGGACCAAGAGCATCAGCAACAGCATGGGTAAACAAGTTACAGGAATGCTGGGAGTTAGATACATTCAAGAAACACTTAGCACAGAAGAAATACCATGCTCACACACTTCAGGATTCCTGCTACAAAGATGTCAGCAAAATAAAGAGAGCAGAGAGTAAATTACAGTTTATTTGCTAATTTTCTCCCTATTGACCATGAAAAAGCTCCTCCTGCTGACTGCACTACTAACCAGAACTAACACTGTACTTCTATGAAACGGAAGTGCAGACCAATCTATCAGCCATCTAACGCTGTCAGAACGTTTTCAGAATTAATTTTAAGCTGTAGCATGTCCTGTCCTACAAGTGAGGGTAGTGCTTTGTTCCTGTTCGCTAGCAAGGAAAAGGCCTCCAAAGCAAGGATGAATGGGGAGAGGGTGGGGGGAGCACACAAGAATCATGCTTTTTATTTAAAACAATCATTCCAGCGTTCCAGTGTCCATTCCTATTGAATGAGCAGCAAGATTTACCCTTCCAAACACCAGCCATCCAAATACCATGCACTACACAATGCTTCTGTTGTCAAGGTTCATTAGAGGGGGTCTGCAATGCTAGCATTTTGTCCCACGTCTGTAAAGGGGCTTCCAGAAGAAAAATTATAAAAGCTCTCAGAAGGGAAATCACAAACCCTCCTGACTTGCAATAACAGTATTTTTTTAGTCCAAGGTATCAAAGCAGTTTTTACCTATCAATCAAATCTCTTTATTTTAAGCAAGGAAAATACTGCTCTAGATGACAGCGTACCTAAAAATTCATCATTCGTAGAAGCGATAATGGGCTAAGTACAGAGAACTTTAGCAGACAAAACTCAGCAATTTGCATATGCAGCCCAAAAGCTAAAAGAAGAGAGAGCAGGTATTACCATGCAGGGATCATACTTCATATCATTCTATCAGAAAAACAAAGAAATACAGACAATCGTGCTATTCTGCAACCGCACACAGTTCCAACAGTATACAATCATATAATTATATTAATATAATCTACTATGTAACAAAAGTGAATTTTCATAGTTCAAAAATCGAGAAAAGGAAAAAAAAAGTTATTTTAGCTTTCAGTTTCAGTAACACTAATAACAGAGATACCAAACTATTTGTTGCAACTTGTTTAGTTTTCTATTATTAACAGCACTTACTAATCCATACTGAAATTAATACAGCCTTACCTGTATCGCACATGAAAGGAACGGTCTTCACGCATGCTTATCAAAACATTACTTTCCTCCATTGAGTTGCATTATCAGTAGAGAAAATAATACTGGTTCTGTAGTAGGGTAAGTACTTTACTACGGAGAATTGTTGTCAGAATACCATTCCAGTTAGTATATTAATAAGGTGGAGTAAAGATATCCTAAGCTCCTGCTGAAAAACTCTTCTTTATTACTAAGGTAAGGAGGTCACTGTCAGACACATCTGAAACCTTCAGAAACGTGTTCAAGTTCTTTCCTCTGTGGCCCTCTAAGCTCCATTCAGCTGCGTTTCTGCAAAGGGAACACAAGATGCTTCGCTTGAAGTCTCATAGTCAGTTAATAACTCATAACCATTTGCAGCTGATGTAAAAGCATAACACTACTCCTACCAAGCAGGAAGCGTCAATCAAGAACGTAAAGCCAGAGCCAAAACCTTCTACATACATACGGCAATTCCTGTACGCAAGCGAGAAAGCAAAGGTTTAACAAAAAACAACGCTCTCTTTCTGTTGGAAGCTTCGAGCAATTTATCCTTGGTAGTGTTCTTTGGCCTCATGAAGTTCCAAGCAAAAAGCTTAAAGGGTGAAAGCTACAGAATGAAAGGCATAACATAAAACAGATCACAAACTGCTTTACACATAAATAGTACTGCTGAAACCCTGCTAGTTTGCTGAAGTCCCACAGTAGTCAGAACTGGCTGACACAATCCCATCTGGAGATCATCCCACCCAGAACATTATGAGCACAGAAGCCAGTAGAGGTTTAAGCTCTACTCCCCCTTCCCCTCCCCGCTCCCAAAAGAAAAGGGAGGGAGGTATGGGGTTTGGGTTTCTTTGCTTTGGGGTTTTTTTGGTTGGGGTTTTTTTTCTTAACACTGGCTTCACATTCCAAAATGCTGCAGCATTGTCATATGAGCTCCAAACTCTGCTTCAAAGGGATTGCAGCAGCCAGCACTTAGACACTAGACATGTTTAGGCTGGCAGGGAAAAGATTAACAGAAAAGAAACTCTGTATTCAAAAGCTTACCCACTTTTAAGTACATTTTTAGTAAAGCAGTTGACATATTTATTGCTTGGTACTAATACTACCTTCCTTTGCAAGTAAACATATAGTTGTGTAATTCACAAATACATATTTCATCAAGAGACTGCAGAGATGTCAAAAGACAAGAACAGAGCTCAGATTTAAAGCTGTCACCAGAAGAAAATTCAACCCCCCTATTTTTAATTGGCGACGTAGGCCATGCCTTTTCCTCTCATCAGTTTTATCAAGTACCAGCTGTGAAGCTTCACGCTTCCTATCATACCCTACCTTGACAGCACCCCTCAAACAGACCATCTACATTCTTCCAGTCAAACAACTATTTTGCCTTTCCATGCTCATCATTAGAATTACGTGGCATCAACAAGTGGGTGTGGGTATATTTTTTGCAATTACAAAGTGTGACACATACAGTTTACAATACCATTGCAACCCACATACTGGGAAGACTGTGTCACAGGTATTTACTCTCCGGAAGTTCGTCCGAACCTCGAATCGGATAACTCATACAAGCAGAAAGCTGTAAGCCACCCAGTCTACAGCGATCATCCATAAAAAAAAACTGCTGCTCAGCAAATGCCAGGGAATTCAAAGTTCTCTTCTGTAGATGGATACGCTCATGCTAATTACTAAATGCCACAAACTAAAAAGTGTGTACTTTGGCAACTGCCACGGATCATGAAATAATGACTGTGGTAATTTGTTTGTGTATTTATACTGTAATTGTAATTAACTGAATAATTTGTTTTAAGAAGCTTTGTTAAAAATAAAAAGCCAAATTTAATAAAAAACTAGAGTTTCATTTAAAAGTACACCAGAATGACTGCATTTATTTAAATATCAGTTATTATTAGCAGTGCATTTCACATCAGCTGTTGAAAACTTCATTTTAGCTGAGCTATGCTTCTGCCCCCATACTTAACTGCATCCACTGACTGATGCCACCATCTCCCACCAGCTGGAACCACTACTCCTGCTTTCTTCCCTCCCTACTGGCCATACGGCACATTCCCGGTCTTGGGAGGGTGATACGGACACACCCAAGTTAGCCAACACATCATGAGCACAGATCCAACAAAAATTACTGGGTATGGTCTTCGTACCTCACTTCCTTCACCCGTAACTCATTAGGATCTCAAGTTACACCTTCAGCCATGCCAACATGTAATCAGGAAGCAAACTTCAAGCATATTAATTAGAGTGGTGAATTTAAAATTCAGGAGGTGGAAACTGATGAACCCTTCCCACAGACAGTATCGCTCAGGTGTAAACTGGCCTTGGGAGGATTATACTACAGCAGGTAAGCCCTGCTCTTTCAATTCACGCACCTTGACTATTCAGAATATCTCTGTGTAACCAAGCCTTTTCTCAGCTGGCGATCAACACAAAATTGACTCCGAGGACACAGTACTTCAGCAGAAAAGCCTAGTGAATTAACAGAAATCCAGAGAAGTTCTACTCTAACAGTGAAACAGGCTTTCTTTTTTTTTTTTTTTTTTAATTAAAAGCTTACATTTTTAATTAAAACTTCATGTAGCATGAAAAAAAGCACTTGGTTCTTACTAGGAAAAGACTCTGTATTAATGCAAAGCAGCTGCTTTAAATTTATTCTCTCCACACCTTTAAACAATGTAAAATCCATATCAATGTTAAAGAGCTGCCTTTCAGGAAAGCACAAATAGAAAATTGAAGTTGGATACATAACTTTAAAATGCACAGTTTTACTATTCCAGCTATTAAATGCAGGAAGCCCTAGCTTTTTTGTAATTTCAAAGCAGTGGAAAAAAGGACACAGAAAAAAGATTGGGCCTCCTTCAGAAGTGGAAAATTAACTAAACTAGTGTTACTAATTACACAGCAGTATGATACCAAAACCAATACCACCACCCCATCTCCCAAGATCAAATAAAGCAAGGCAGAGGTTAGGCAGTCAAATGAGGCAGCCAGTTTATACCCCACAATAGACAAAACACACACTTTATCACCCTTCATTAGGAGAAAATGGTGAGCCATATTTAGGGCTTATCCACCCGGGCTATAAACAGCTAAAAGATCTTCAATTAAACCATCAGTAAAAAGCTAACTTTGCCTCAATTCAATGCTTTATCTAAAAAATGTTCTTATCACTGTCAAAAAGTCACTTTTCATTCTTTTCTATTAAATCATGGATTTATATACAAGCTATATAGATATAGAAGCTTGGGGTTTGCATGGAACGAGGTTTTAAGACTGAATTCCTTACTAAATTCTATGAAACTACTTTTAGCTTGATTCTCTGAAATTGCAGAAAATCTATTAAGTTAATTTCTGCAAATTTGACAATGAAATAAAAAAAATCATGGTAAATACTAATGTTACATACTGAAAGGAATCCCACACAACAATGCTTTAAAAAGTGAAACCCCATCACACTTGCACTTATTCAGTATTTTTCATAAAATTATTATCAGTGTTCTCTAGAAAGGGAACCAAGGCCTAAAGGCCGATATTGAAAGAAAGTACATCTCAACCTTCCATTAACATCACTGAACTGAATCAGTGATATATATGCTAAGACTTAAATGAGGCTCACTCTCTCAAGAAAAATTACGGAAAAAACCAAGATGCCCCCATCTTCAATTCTGATCAGTATATTTGAAGTCCCTGACAGCAATAAAACAATAGATGTAATTTCTTTCTCAAAAGCCTGTTATGCCAGCTAATTGTCCTAGTTATTACAACTTCCAGACAAGCGTTTCATGTTTTAAGGCATTTTCCATTTCAGAAAAGATTGGATTACGTACTATGAATTTTATCACAATGGTAGACAATCACTTTAATCAGGTTGCAGTTCTTTATTACACTGAACATCTAAGATAGACTCCTTAATTTTAACTTTTGATAGAATACCATATTTCCACACAAGTGAAAACGAATCATCAAGCAAAAGAAAGTCAATACTGCTATTTATTAGCAGCATATAGAACCAATAATCACAATATAGTTGGAGAGGGAGATGTTTTTTTCCCCTGCATCTCCTTAGAACAGTAAATTTCTGCAGCTTCGTTGGCTCCTTCCCTCAACCCATACCCTCCTTTTTCTGGAGTTTGTCAGATGATCAAATATATTGCTTCACCTATGTACAGTTACATGGCTGACATGCTGACTGGCTGACATACGCTGACTGGTCACTTGGGGGCTGACAAACAGAATATCTAACAGTTCAATTCTTTCCACCTTTCCCTAAAGCAGACGATCAAGTAATGCCTTCTCTACCCATCTGCTATTTTTCACAAAGCTATAGGAAAGGAGCATCTGCCAAATGAAGTCATCATTGACTGACAGATTCAAAAGCTACTAGAGGAAAGTAGAGATAGAGGTAGACCAATTGCACAAATTGTGTTTCCTTAGAAAAACTAGCTAGAGAGATTTGTTGTTTCAAGATTAAGGCAAATTTCCCAATGGTGAACTAAGTTTGAATTTCCTTTCAGGAAGGGGCTACAGCACGGGTGGGAAAGAAAGGAAAAGAAGCTTCAGCTGGATTATCTAAAAACAAAACAGAGCTTTGCATACCCTACTGAGAAAGAGACAGACTAAACAACAACAAAAACATACTGACAATTCTGTTACTGAAATATAGATATTAGCTTGGCTCCAGACCTTCAAAATATAAAACAGCATATAAACACAAATAGTACAACAGGGAACACTCAGAACTAGACAAACCATAATTTCAGTCCTCAATGCTGTCCAAGGATATTTTTAAAATTCACCTGAATTAACAAATAAGCCTAAAATAAGAAAAAAAAACAAACTTAAAATTCTATATCAAGTTTAATATTGTATTCACAAAGTAAACAGCATCATCATTAGCATTTCTGTAGTAATAAATATTCCTCTGTGAATGAACCTTAAAATAACTGTATGCTATGTTGGGAAAAAGCTATTTTTTCCAAACCTTGAGCACAGTACAATACAAATGACTAGTCATAAGAGCGGATTATGTAGATCCGAGAAACACTGTACTAAGACCAGTGTGGTTACTCTTGGAAGCTTAAACTCCTCCCTGCACCACTCTGACAGCAGTGCAACAGCTGATTAGCTGACAGCACACAGAAACCACTGTCACTAAAGAAGTGAATTTGAGGTTTTATTCAGGGTCACTGATGATGTGGAGCAATACCTGCTCTGAAATACTGCCTTTTTCTCCTCATGGATTTGTATATGGAGCAGATACCCTCAGAATAAACCACAGGGCTTCTTTTAAAGAACTGG